TGGGTGTAGGTGTGGATGTGGGTGTGAGGATGTGGATGTGGGGTGTGGATGTAGATGTGTGTATGGATGTCGGTGTGGGTGGGTGTGGCTGTGGCTGTCGGTTGTAGTAAAGGGATTGCCAACACCCACACTCACAGGCGCAAGGGCACCCACAGCGACAGCCACGGCTACAGCAATACCCACAGCCGCATCCATACCTACACCCACACTCTCAATAGCTGATGTTACCGGTTGAACTTTTTGACCCGGCAATTTTTCTTTTCATACAATTCATTTTTGGCAATGAAAGAGGTTAAGAAGGCAAATATACGCAGTATTATGAACGAGAAATATAGATAGAAAATAAGAGAGTAGAAGGCTTCTCAAGTAAGAGTAGTAGAGGCAAAAAAAAACGTGTTCACGTGGCAAATATATTGTTGGATGTGGGTGTGAGCATGAGTGTGGATGAGGGGTGGCAAAGTTCTCACAAGCAGAATTTTAGAATTCTGTATTGTATATACATTTATCATAATACACATACGAATTCTCTTCATTTTAATATAACTTTAATAATGCTATAGTAAACAACCTCCTTCTGCTTAAAATTATGTTTCTCCAGCAGAATTGTGTTTTATCATACACCCTTCTTTCTTCTGAAAACTGAAAATTCTGCTGAGAATTATATTTTTTCAGCAGAATCGTGTTAGAACTTTGATTCCAAGCAGAATTGTGCTTTATCATACATACTTGTTCTATAGACTTTTTTATCCATCTAAAATGAAAGTTCTGCTTAGAATTATACCTTCCGATCAGAATTGTGTTAGAACTTTCATTTCTTAGCAGAATTTTGTTTTATCATAGACGCAATCATATATGCACACCTCTCCTTCAAATTGAAATCAATGTTCTCGTTAGAATTATATTTCTCCAATAGAATTGTGATAGAATTTTGATCTTCTAGCAGAATTTTATTTTATCATATGTACATATATATACATATTTCCCCTTCAAAATCAACGTTCTGCTTAAAATTATGTTTTTTCAGCAGAACTGTGTTAGAATTTTAATTGCCAAGTAGAATTTTCTTTCATCATATAGACTTGTTTGCCCATAACACACAAAACTCTGGTTTGAATTATGTTTCCCAGCGGATTTGTTTTAGGATTATAATTTCTTAACAGAGCCTTACTTCATTATATACAATTATTATAACTATATTTTTTATGTAAATTTTGTTATTTTATGCCGAAGAAAATTTATAATATGAATATTTTTTTCAAGTTTTGTTAAATTGGAAATTTCGCCTGAAAGTCTCTTGTAAGTTAATCAATGACAAGTTAATACAAATAGAACGAAAAATAGATGCATCTAATTTAATTCTTTTTACACATAATATCTCGCAATTTAGTATCCCAATCTGTGGGTCCCTTAGGTAAGTTCAATTGATTAAAATCTAATGCATGAGTCGAATTTTCATCGATAGAAATCTCAAGGCTCTGTTGATAAGTTGGAGAATATTGAAATGTATTATCAGCCAAGTGGCAACGAGAGACGCCGCGAACTTTAGGAATTGCAGAAGCCTACGAAAAGAAGCTGCGTATTAAGCGATTTCTAATACAATATGAACTCACAACATCGAAGATAAATGATGTTGATCTTCTCACCATCGACAGATTTTTTTAAATGGAACAAGATCAACCTGAATAGTGGAGCACGTAGGTAATTCATATTACTGATGATTTGGGAATATTGTTTTAACCAAGAGAAAGTTTGTTCTGCAGCCTGTGTGTTGACATCCTTTAACACTATAGATTAAAATAATTTGATAATATGACAGTAACTACAGTACAAACGTGGATTTTTACCTAGACTCATTGTTTTTCGACAGAATACACCAACATGATTACGAAAGTGGCTTCTGTCAACGCTAATAGGTGTTGCGTGAAGTAATACCATTGCAGGCATTTCTGCAAGTTCGCTGCCCATATGATTTTTGATATATTAGACAAGATGACACCCGTCATCATATACACAGGTGGGTGCCAATTGACCATCAACTATAAAATATTTAGAACACTAAGTATAATAATTTGAAACACATCTATACCTCTTATCGTAACAGCAAAAAGATTAATAATCTCTCTAAGTGTCTCCGATCTGTATAATTCGCTAAAAGAAGTAATTATTCGACAATTGGAGACGAGAGCTATTATTCCTAAAGATCTAGTACACTTTTTAATACATTGATCAGATCTTTCCTTAAGTGTGCGACAATTGGTTAAATTTAAACGACCATTTTTGTCGTGCAACTTGTTGGAAAATCGACGAATAAATTTTCGGATATTTTTTCTTCTTTGAACTATTGGGTTTGATTGCTTGCTTATGGGAACCATTGTTTCTTGATTATGAAGTTGACAGAATCGAGAACGGCGAA